ACTTGATCTCCTGGGTTTCCTGATCTGCACTGCTCTCCCCCCGTCGGGGTGCCTGGGCATGCTGACCTGTACTTGCATGCTGAGCCTCCTTGAATTGGAGGTATTCAACCATCTCCTTCTTACCCAATGCTGCAAGCAATTGGGCTTTCTTGTTAGCTTCTGCCCATGCCTTTTCCAAGGCTACTTTCTCCACGGCCTCTTCCTGCCCCTTCAGGAGTGCATATGTCCCTCTCCTCTCATGAGGAATGGGACTATTTGGAGTTCTTGCTGACCCAATAAAAACAACATCGTCATGCCCTGCAGAGTCGCCCACTTCTACATGGTCACAAACACAAAATGTACGAAGTGGCTCCAATGGAGCTGCAACATGAATTTCACCTGTTTGCTTCTCTTTTGCCTTTTTGGGGTGCTTGGCCTTCCTCAAAGGCTGCGGTTTGCCAAATTTGGTGGGATGATTCACCCCACTATTGTCGCTGCTCGACTCATCCGTCCATGGGGTTGTTTTTTGAGTCGTCTCCACTCCATGGGGTGCTTTGTCTGCTAGTGCTTTCTCAAGCTGCTCGAATGCCTTGGCCTATGCCACTGGGTCCAACTCGTATGCCAAGTTGACGGACTGAACACGCTGCACCTTTTGGCTACCACCTGCATGAAGGAACCGATAGCCCTTAGCCCTGCATTGGCATTTCCTTGCCCGCTTTTGCTCGTACTTATCGAGATTCAACTATTTATCCCTTTCACATTGAAGAATTTTCTGCTCCCTATGCCAATGATCTCTATGAGTTTTCTGCTCATCAAGCTGGTGCGCACGAGCAAACCATTCTCTGTTGCAAGCACGCTGCCATTCCTTCTCCATGCGATGAACTGCACCCTTTTTGACATATCCCCAGGCAATGGGGAGGCGCAGGAAGAAAAGGAAAGTTCTAAAATTTCCTCCCATCGTTGGTGAGGGTCATCCGGAAATGGCCTCTTTGGGATGCCATCACTGTAATCCCACTGCTCAGAAATATGCCTGAGCTCAAAGGCCATTTTCTCTGGCTAGCTGGGATCATCCCTGATGATCTGGTCCACCATGCTTGGCCCATACCACTGCTAAACCTTGACTAGCTTCGCAGTGGTCAAGCGTATACCAAACCTCTTGGAGGTTGTTTTCCCGCTTTCGTCGAGGTCGTTGAGCCGATTTGAGTGGAACTTCATCCACACGGCTCTGCAACTTTGCGGTCTGCTCTAATGCTCAATGGAATCCGGCTCGAAATGCAACACTCGAGCGTCCTCCTCCAGACCCCATTCTGGTAATGCTAGCCTATGAGGGTTCCATGTGGGGCTCTTTGGCCTGCTTGGACTCGGGTCGCACACCCTACGGGCGCTCTCCGTCAAGGAGTCCCCACTGGGTTGCTCTTCATCACTAGGTGTCTTAGTATGCACCTGTGATCTAATCCGAGATTCAGGCATCATGGCCGATGGGCCTGTGATGTTGGCCAGTGGGTCTACAATATTGGCCAATGGGCCTACGGTGTTGGCCAGTGGGCCACTGCGGAGCCTTTTCCCGGCTGCTTTTGCATCTCACCTGGTGAAAGACTCTTTCTCTTCGCCCTTGACCATCCGGCCTCTGGCCACTCTCCGGCTACTTCTGGAATGCTCAGCATCTTCGGTCTAGTCGGATTGGTGGCCCTCTCGGGCTGCTTGGACTGATGTGTGGCTTTCTCCTCCACATCGCGCGTCCGCCCCTTTTGCTTCAACAGGCAGTCGCTCAGAGCACCCACTTGCTCCTGCACGGAGGCCTTCTCAGCTTCGGCCTCCTTGCTCCGCTCCTTGGCCTTTTTCAAGGCCAGCTCATGATGGTGTGTCTCCTTTTGGGCGGAGGCAGCCTCGATCTCCAGCCTCACGAACCGGGTTGTAGCATCCTGTGGTTTGGCAGCTGCAGACGCCACCATTTTCTCCAAGAGCTCCATTATTCTTGGGGCTTGGAGAAATGCTTCCATCATACCTGGCTCCACCGGTGCTTCTGTGGGGGTCTCCCCTGCTTCCGCCATGGGGTGACCCCAACTCATGGCCTGCATCTGACCAGCGGATAGTCCTGCTGTGTCCTCCCGGACTGGTTCCTCCTCAGCGGCCTCTGTTCCCTCACAGGATGCGTTATCCACACCGGCGCCCACCACCGGTGCCGCCGTTGCCCTATCTTGGAGTGCGTCATTAGCCACTTCCATAGTTGTGCCCTCCCGGGCTGCTTCGGATTCCTCAGCCTCCATAGTGGAGGCCGGGGATGGAGTCTCTTCATGCTATCCTCGCCGCCGTGCGCAGTGGATGCGGGTGGGCCACCCCGATGTGGCTCCGAAACCAAATGATACAACAAAGTTAGTGGTATGAGGCACCTACCCTCTTTAGGCCACGGACCTACCTCGCTGGGCACTTAGGTCCTTACGGAGACCTAGGCGGGTCCACCCCGACCTACCGCCATATCATATATCATATAATAGAATAAGGTCCGGTTGGGATGGTGTTACCGTATCTTGGGCAGGGCATCCCCCACACCAAAAGGCCAGTAGTAGGGCATCCCCCACATTAGGCCAATGTGCGTAACAAGGCCCTGTGGGCCTCACTGGGCACCTTGGCGGGTGCATCGCGGGCACAACGACCGAAAGCCATGCCAATCTCCTCTTGCGACAATAGATTCCCAAGAAACTTATAAGCTGGCATATAAACGGATGGTCCGACTACAGGGCCCACATAGCAAAAGACTCAAAAGCAGCACCCAACAGCACCGGGCCTCAACAACAACTTCCCAAGGGAACAAGCCTTAAGGTGCCTGTCTTCATGCCCAAAGGCTCAAAGAAACCAGCTCTAGTGAATAAGAATGCTTGCTCATAAGCCGACCAACCTATTGCATGAAGGTTCAATAATAAGAAGATCGTGGGTGTGCTATGCACATTGGTGTCTAGACACGTTCAAGTACACCGAAAGTTGGGGATGAGAAGGTGCAATGTCATACTCAGTGCCCCACAATTCAGCATTTATTGCTTGGCGGCTAATGAAGGTAGCAAACCTGACATTGTGGAGAAAGTGATACCACCTCGTCGTCCATTAAACAAAACTGGCGCCAAAGAGCGTGACACATTGAGTGGAACAATCATATCTTCCGAATAGGTTGAACTTGGCAAACACTACAAGCCGACGCGATGCACTGCAACGATCCCCGACAACACATGGTTACCATTTCAGGCGCCAATCTCGGGTGTCCATTATACAAACTTTGGCAAAGAAAAGAACGAAACGCTGGGCCAAAAGCTAAATGAAAGAAGGAAAATGGAAAAAAATTGCCAAATTTTCAACTTCTTCAATCCATGCACCCCATCCTACAACGAAAGAGTGCATGTGTGTATTCCTCATGGTGTGCCACAGAGCGCCACATGGATGCCAGGTGGGTAGGGGCTAAATGTGCTCTGGTCGTCTGTCTCTGGGCCATGTTGATGAGTGTGCTGATGGATCGAGAAGGATGGACTCCTCTCGCTGTGGACAACAGGCTGCTGGGGGGCAAGGTGTTAAGCTGCCAACATTCCTTTGAAGGGAGGTCTGGAAGGCACGTAGGCCAACACCAGAACTGCCACCAGGATACTGTCCAAGACCTGAGCCATGGTAAAATATATTCAAGAAAGGAGAAGTTGTTCTTTGAATTGTTGTTGCCACGCATGTTGTGCTTCTTGAGCAAGACGGGGAGTTTACTCATGTCAGGCCTGCCACTCAAGCTGAAGGCACCCTCAGGCCGTATTGGGCTGACAAGTCCAGGGCCCTGTTTTGAACCTGATGTTCCAAACAAGGCAGGTCTAGCATCCTTTGCTGGGTCCCACTATCATTGCAAAGAAACTGCAACAGCAATTCGTAACCCACTACATTAGCGTGGTGGCCTGTGCGTGAATCGTGTTTCGCAAACCCAGCCTCAAATTGAAGGGCAGAGGCACATGCAGCGCATGCATGTGAGAACACATGCACGCTCTCATTGATGCGCAAGGTAGTTCTCACAAACATGGGTTCAGACACCAATGAATTTTGATTGCTAATTCCCCAATCGTGCTGATTCTTGTCCAGTGTTGCACATCTGCAGGCACGGCTCGGTAGGCACTGAGGACTTGGTGCTGGTTGAAGTTGACGCATCCCAAAATTGGGAGCAGTAGTCCACAAACCCACCTTGCCCCCCCAAAGGTGTGGCAGTACCATTTACAGGGCACCGTAGGGAATGCGCATGAGCATAATATTGACACGCAATGTTCATTATCAACAAATAGTTAATGAAGTACTGTACACAGTGCTGTCCTGCAACCCTCTGCAGCCCCAACTACAATTTACTCAAAACAATCAGTGTCTGCTTCCTTTCCTTGCCCCCCCTCGCCGGCGTGCCCTCTTCTGTGCTGGGGGCATGACAGCCATTTCCTGATCATCTGCTTGCTGCCCTGAACAAGCGTTTTCCCCAGTGCCATCGCCAACCTGTTAGAAGCATAGAAACAGCAGTGTTGGGAGTTTTTGGCAGCAAGTAAAAGTGGAAAATGACAAGCGCCGAGAGTTTTGGGCCTTTTTTCAACTCCAGAGAATGTTGAGTGAGCTGGGTCACAGCAGAGAGAAAAGGGTCAACTCCAGAGGAAGACTGTCTAAGAAATTTTTTAATCAATTCTCTGTTAAAATGCAGTGTCTAAATCAGGTTTCCTGCCTTCCTGTATCCGAAAATGCAGAAACTTTCCCCACCCAGTGATGGAGCACAAAGACTTGGTATCCAGACCAAAAACGCGGCCCGTGTGCCAACGTAAGAACAGGGCAGTGGAGAGCAAGGCATGATTGGGGCAATCTGTTGTAAATCGCTTTGAACCTCAGGCTAATAAATGGTTTTGTCTCACAGTGGAAAAGGTTGTCGGTCTGCAAGAACAGGGTGCAATCCGATGTGCTACGTTTCCTGCACCCTGTATGTGATAGGGTTCGAGACAGCAATGTCACGGGTCCTGAACGCTGCAATCACTGGATTTGCAAGAATTGGCCTTTGCCCCCCATTCGTGGTCCTGGAGCTTCAGGGAGAATCTCGACTTGTTCAACCTTGGCACATCTTTCCAGAGAAGGCAGGAGACCACAATGTCATGAAGATCCCCATAACAATCACCAGTCAAATCAGCCACTACATATTGTATCATGTTGAGAAACCTTGAAAAATTGGACTCAAGCACAGCAATCGCGTTAGAAATTCTCACATTACCCTTACTCCTTACAGCCAGACCATGCCCCTCCCAGTCCCTACCACCTGGCACTGATGTCAGAAAAAACTTGTTCTGAGGAACCCATGAGGTTTCTGCAGGTCACAGTGACATGGATGCCTTGGCATTTGATGTTGAAGTCTCCTATGACGGGAATTTTGAACGCCTGGTGCAGTGAACCCTGCCCCCACCCTGTTCCCAGAGGTCTATATGTGGCATGAGGTGCGTTTTCGATCGTATCCGCAGCAACAGTCAATCTGCCTGGCCATGCGCCCTACCTGCAGCTGTGCAAATCCTCCTTGCAATTCTCCATAACGAAGCCCCAGTTTGAGAAGCGTCAGTGAGACCACCTGGCTGCCGTCTTCTTCCCATTTTGATATCTTCACATTCCCATCGTTGACGAGCTGTAGCGTGGCTAAAAATCGGCGGGGCACTTCATGGTGCACGCTGTGTGAGAGAGCATTATGAAAGGGCACTGCGTCGTCTGTCGATTTCTGCACGCAGAAATACTTGCAAATGAAAGTTGCACAATCAGCAGGACTGTGTGCAGATATGCATAGTGCGGAATATGGGCTTACGGAGTTACCGCTGTCGCTGCCAGCTGTCAGCTGTTCTTCTGTTGTCCCTGAGCAGAATACAACTGAAACATTGCCCTTGCTTGTGTGGAAAGCACACAGTAGATCCACACTCCAGGGACATGTTCACATGTCCACAGGCCGGTGCGATAAAGCAACAGTGCTGAAGAGTGGAAGGCCAGGTCCCATTGAAAATATACCTACACATACTACATAGTAGTACGGACTTTCCATCATTGATGTGCAGACAACGTCAGCAGCGAACGGAGGAATTGATGAGAGAAGCAGCACATCATTCACTGCATCTGCAGTGGCCTTGGATTATGGTATTCTGCCACAGAACAACATGACTTACCAGGGTACCATCCCCTCCACCCACAAGGCTCAACACAGCCAGTCGTTCCAAGACAGCCTGCTCATATTGGCAGAGGTCAAATTCCTGCCTTGAGTATTCCTCCTCCAGAACAGGCTCAATCCTGTCTCTCCAGTCTGCAACACGGGCGGCAATTTCAGTCTGCAATTCACCAGCACTGGCCGCGGTTGCACGCGTTTCAATGTGCCTTCTGCACAGCTCCCAGTAGCCTGCCTGGTCCCCGTCGCCATCGTTGACCAGGTCGTCTGGCCCACCCCCTGGCCACATTTGTGCCCCATGCTGTGGTCCAAACGCATCTGGCCCGAAGCCATCTTCCCCGTCGCCGTCACTGGTGCTCTCAGCTCCAACACCAAGGGGATTCGTGTCCCCATCCCATGCATCAAGCTCCCCGGCAGTCCCAACTTCAACATCAAATTCCTCTTCTGCAGCCCTGCCATCCATGGCCAGGGAGCCAGCCTGCAAGTCCAGCAGACCCCGTGGCCTGGCTTCCCTTTCACTATCCTTGCTTTTCAACAGTGCTGTCTTTCTCAGGGCGTAGGAAAATTCAGAGAAGGCCAGGCCGCGAGGCGGAGCCGGCGGCAGGCCATTGTCAACCCAATCTGGTGCCTGCTCTGCAGAGAAACGCTTCTTCCTCGGCACTCGCATTTTGAAGGGGCGAATGGGGAGAGCGCTGCAGTCTTGAAAGTCCAATGGCTTGTAGGGATCAAAGTACTCCGAGCCTGAGGGGGATGCAGCATTCTGTGCAGGTTGCCCTGGGTTCAGGGGGGGGGGCGTGTGTGCCCCCGAACCAGCGTCTGGTGAGCCATTGGAACCTGAGGAGTGACAAGACACAGTTGCAGATGTGCAAAGTGGCCTGAGGGATACATGCAGCTGAACTGCAGATGGACCAACGGGTGACTGGTATATGGATGCACGGACCTGTGAAGAACAACAGTGTCGCCCGATGAATGGCAATGGCTGCCGTCTGCTGTCTGAAGCCGTGTTGAAACCCACATTGGCTTGCATCCACTGTGTATACTTTAACAACTTGTTTCTGCCTATTGAGGTGCAGTGGGGTCACTGTGAGATTTGTTGGCAGGGGAAGTTGATCGAATTGCTGAACAATAAGTTCTCCATGGCTCACAACAGCATTCAAGATGCCTGTCTGCACATTCATTTGATGGTCATTCCACGTTGCAGTGCAACATAGTCATTGCAGTTAAGCGTGCACAGTTCCAAAGCAACAGGTTATTAGGGCGGAACTACATGTTTGTTTTCCCTCAGCAGCATGAAAGGTGTGTTGCTAACAGTATCAAGTTACAGTCACGATTATACTGCTCCTAAGTGAAATGTTCTTTTGTTACGGCAATCATCCAGCCTGGCAAAAATCAGTGGCCTGCTGTCTCTGTCCAGTCCAGTCTCTGTCCCAGAGCTTCCACTCCACGGAGTTGGCTTTGTTCTGAAAGCAAGGAAGACATCAACGCACAATGCTTTTGTTCACACTGCAGTGGCACCTTTCGCAACGTACTGAACTCTGGCACACTGCACAGTTCTGTATCAATGGCACCAAGGTGGTCGGTCTGAGGCAACATGCATGTGAGCAGCTATTTTGCACAAGTTTGGTAGCAAACAGCCACAGCCTGGGGCGCCCCTTGTCCATACCATGCAGACTTGGCTCATCACAAATTCCTGGAGACTGGGGTGCACCCGCGTTGCTGTTGTGGTCCTCAGGTGCTCCCCAATCTGGCATCTCCATATCCAACGCCAGAATATTGCCCCCCAAGCCATCATCACCAGGTCTAGTCACGTTTGGAGGTGTCAGCACTGAACCAGACGACCGGTGATTGAACTGGAAGGTCTCTATCTGGTGTACTATTTTCTGAAGCTCATCATCGTAGTCATCAGCGATCCGGGGATCGAGCAGCAGGGCTCCAGACGAATGTACGAAGCACTTGTTGAGCTGCAGGTGCAGCGACACACGCATGATCAAACACTGATATTGAAAAGACAGTCTGGGCTTCTTGGGATACAAATATTGCAGAGTGCAAAAGCAAACATTAACTATGACACAAGGAACATTCAGGTGATGGATAAGGCCAGCCTGGAGGCACCACTGTGCACACATTACCAACCACTTCCCAGAATTCTCCAATGGACTGTTGTTGGGGTACCAGTTGAATTCTGCACATTTGATGTGATTTCCCAGGCATGTTCAAGATGGAAACGCCTTTCCCCATCACATGACAGGCAAGGATATATGTTTGTGAATACTTAACAGCCGGTTGGTTGAGTCACTAAAACAAAAAGCAAAAAAGTGAATGAGCCATGACCATTGCAAATGAATTGCACTGATGGCAGGCATCCTGTCTCTGTCTTTAGCTGTACACATGATATGTTGCCAATGTGAATCCAGAATTGAAAATACTAACAGAAGTTGCTGCTCTGGGCCCCGTATGCCAGTACAAAGTGGCACAGGCCGCATTTGTCACTAATCAGAAGCCATGATGACTGCAATACTCACCCTGAAATTTGCTCCATCGCCATCTCCCTGCTGCTTTAACCCTGAATGGACACAACAACAGTGGAGTCCATGATTAAACAAACACTCCAACACGGGCATTATTGCAAACTATCTTCACATGCAAATTTAGTGCATGTCAAAACAGTGCCTGTTGGACACCTGAACAGGAAAGGCTGGCCGGTGGCCTACCTGGGTCGTCAAGTGCAAGCAGCATCGCAGGGGGGCCAATGGGGGATGGCCTTTGGTTGGTGTAGTCAGAAGGCAAGTCGATGTTGGCACCCTCTGCAACCACAAGCAGCAACAATTCCACCACAATGGCATGAATATGCTGCAAGCCCTCTTATGAGGTAAACACCAAACGCAGTGTGGAAGGCAGTACCTTTCTCAGTACCTTCCACAGCCAGCCACCAACAGTGCTCAATGCAGGGCACAAAATTATTCATGGGCAGTGCAGGAGACTGTGTTGATGCCAGTGGGCCTTATGTTCCATGTGCTGGTGACGAAATAAGTATGAACAATTTAAACAGAAGGGGTTGTGCAGGATGGCTTACCACACACCTAACACTAGCCCGAACACAACCTCAGCATGATACTCACACATGCACAATATGCTCCACAGCTCTCCTATTGCAGTGGCATCAGTGCCTTTTGTGGCTTCTACCAGTGCGATAGCATCTGAATCCTTTGATAGCCCAGTTCATGCCATGCTTGCACGAATCAGCCCTTAATGTGACTGTAGGTCATTATAGGCTGGCAAAGATGAAAACTGGGACAACCTTGCCAAGAATGGCAGCTGCACCTTGCATAGCCTCTCCCAGGTTGAAAAAGTCCTCTTCATCATGTTGCGTTCCCCCCGCTCCCCTATGTTTCTTCCCAGCTGCACGCTTCTCCTTTTCTGCAGCACTGTCATTATGTTGGGTGATTCAGCACTACAGTAGGGTGGAGCGATACTTTTGCTGCATGGATGTAGTCTGGCGCTTTGATCTTCAAAACTTCACCAAAAGATGCCCAACAAGGGAGCCCCACGATGGCAAAATAGGCATTTCAAAGTGCAAGGTGGGGCCTGCAAAAATTTGGTATGACACAAGATTATGACAAAATTGATCGCACTACAAGAGCGCCTCTACTGACCAGTCTAATTAAATTGCAGCTGTCAGGCTGTTTCCGTTGCCTGCTGCAAACAGTGAGCAAATGCGCGCAAGTCTGGTGTGAGGGCATTTAACAGAGGCAGATTCCTGCAAGCAGTGAGCAACACTTGTCATCGACCGTTTTGCAAGGGCGAAGATTTCAAAACCAGCTGCGCCCCCATGGATCCACAGAAGCCTGCATGAGGCAGCCCAAGCTGGTGGGCGAAATGAAAGTCAACAAATCACAGCAGTTTGCAAAAAGCTCAGGTAAGTGAACAGGGCACATCATGGACTGTGCACAGCAGCGTCATGGGCTGGAAAGGCGTTGGAGCTCGCGATTTACCTCCTGCTCCTGATGTACTCAAATGCCTTCAGCGCCAAGGCACTGAGGTACTCCACTTTCTTGCTGTAAATGCATGCTGACCCCTGAATCAGCAGAGCGGCTGTCCACAACGACCACAGGGAGTCGGGTCAACTTCCGCCTACTGGGGAGACGCGAGCCCGCCAGTTCAAGCAGAACAAGCAGAGTACGCAACTTTCCGCGTTCGAGAGCGCGAGGCCTGCGGCTCAAGCGCAGTCGACAACGGCGTCCTGCCATACATCTGGAGACCCCGTGTCCGCGTCGATCGCTGACCACCGCGCTGCTGGGCACTGCTTGCCCGCAAGGGCCCCAACGATCTCGCTGTGGCTGCACCAGGTTCAAGGCTAAGCACAAAGCCAGTGCGCCTCAGGGAAGAGACTGGTGAAATGGAGATGGGGAGCCTCATGGACTCAGCGACCAAGGCAACGCCGCAGCTGGCATTTACCGAGCATTCCAGCGCCACAGAGGGCCTGGGCGCGCCTCGCACCTTCGCTAAAGTCCATCCGCTTGGGGTTGTCGCCCTCGAACGCAAACGTCAGCGTCTCGAGCTCCTCCTGCGTCCCCCGCGGCGCGGCAGCGGTATCAGATCGGTGACATTCCGACACCAGATCGGCGGCACTTCGGCACCAGATCCCAAGAGCACAGCAGTCCAGGCGTCCACAGCTGTCCGCGGCCCCAGGCACCGCGATGAGGGCCCCCTCACCAGGTATTCCTCCAGGTCGCCCGCGAGGTCGATGTTCCAGTTGTCCGTAAGGTCGCGCAGGGGCTGCAGCAGGTGCGCATATCGAGCCTCGGGCCCCTGGGGCGCCCTGAAGACCATTTTTGGGGCGGAAGCCGGGGTGGGCGGAACTGGGCGGTGGCCGCCGGGCCCGACGGCCTGTGGCTGGACGCCGGGGCGCAATTGGCGGGAGTTGCCAGAAATGCTTGTTTCTGTCGCAGCCGCAGGGGAAACTGAGCTGAAGGTGGGGGGATGGTCTGCATCCGATCCAGAAATGGATGCTGCCTTTTTGGGCGCGAAGGAAGGCTGCAAATTGGTTCAGTGCCCGATGCCGTGCTTGGCCTTGGGAATACCTTGGGGGGTAATTTGCAGATGACGATGGGGAGAGGTTCCTAATGATTGGTTGCGTGAGGAGCAACTTATTTTGTGCTTGCGGCGCTGGGACGGCCCCCTCCGGATGCCCTGGCGTGCGGATAAGAGAGCAGAGTCGGGCCTCCGTGGGCGAGGACTGGAACGCAGGGGATGAACTCGAAGCTCTGGGACCCATCGCCATGAATGCGCCTGCCTTCCTTGACGGGAGGCTGGCCTCTAGCGACTTGGGAGGAATTTCTTGGCGTAGAGGCATGGGGAGGGCACCCCCAGTTCTCTTCGGGGCATCTGCGCCGTGGCCAGGAGTGACACGGCGTATGGTTGCAAAGAGGCGGAAGCAAACTTAACGAGATGAGATTGCAAATGGGGGGTGCTGAAAATGCGCAGCACCACACAACACAGCGCCAATTTTTGCAACGTGTTGCGCTCCCACATACAGCAGTGATCGTGCACGCTGCAGTTGCTCATATTCGTGCGAGTTGTTGAATTTAATAAGCACCACTGCTACAGCGTGAGTAACATAGCATGACCGTACACATACAGGTTGCCCGTCGACTTCACTGGCTGGCCTCAAGTACCCCATTGTTAGCAACCAAATTTCCGTCGACAGTATGATAAGCCACCCTGGAGGAAAGCATGTCATCTCCAATGGAGAGGGAAGCAGCGAATATGTGGCACCATGTCACCTCATGAATTCCAAACTGGGCCAATGTTACGTCTTTCTGTTTGGCATTTCCCAGACCAAGCATACTCCCTGTTTTACAGAGCCTCCCTGCGTTTCACAGGTTTCCCGTCCAACACACAATCGATCAATCACATTGAAGCTCTGTACATGCAAACCATGTGCAGGGAAGCCAGCAACTCAGCAGCAACGGCCTTGTCCGATGTTCCTGCTCTCAATGTGTTTTCAGCCTTCCCTGCGTATGCAGATTGCATACCAAACTCCAACTCTACAGCACAGGCCTCTGTGTATTGGCCCGTGTGCTGTCAAACTATTATCCTGAGACCAATGACCAGCCCAACCAAAGACAGCAGATCATCGCTGTGGCATCAGTTTCCACCCCACCCTCTCACCCTTGTTTACCTAGCAGCTGTGCGGCGCACACAATGTCTGCAATACAGAATCCTCCTACTGCCGGCAACCTATATCTAATGCTTGGGCAGGGACCATGGCCCCAGTCTATGCGTCCCTCGACCCAAGCGGACCGTTCTGCCCTCGTGCACACAAATTCTTCCTCTGCAACATCAGTGCTCATTTGTGTGCTCGTGCCCCCCTGGTTGGGAAGCTGCGCTGGCAACAGGAGCAAAATATGGATGCTCCATGGCCTCCTTCGTGGTCAAGCGCTCCTGGTGATCATACTTCAACAATTTGTCTAGGAAATCCAGGGCCTCTGGGGACACAATATGCTGATTTTCACTGTTCACAAACTTGGTCCATGGCTTCCTGTTGTGCCGGCCGACCAAGGCCTCCAGCCGTGAGTCGAGCGCGATGCCATACTTGGACAGGTAGGCGTGCAGCTGCTCTGTCCCCAGCACCTAGCCAACAAAGCAAGCAGTTAGTGTTAACTGTACAAGCAGTTCCAATTGGACAGGGATACGTTCACTTGTGGCAACTTAAAACAGAGAGAAAGAATACCCACTGCTATTGCCAACACTATGGGAATCTACATTGTTCTCGGTAAGATCAGCAGGCTGACAGTCTGCGCTGATGTCAAAAATGGTCAGAAAGATATGGTCAGATATGGTTTGGATATGTTTGCAAGATACTGTCAGGATTTGATCATATCAAGGCTGCACTGACAGCTTCTATTCCATGATGCCAGTGGTGCATTATGCACCACTAGCAGCACACACATACAGCCCAGCCCAGATAAGGAAACACCTTCTCAGCTGAGTATCTTCTAAACCAAACTTTGGTTCTGAAATGTTGCTCTACAGTGATGCCATTTCGCCACCGCCTCAATTTGGGCATCATAGCCATAGCCTCACTTCATCACACGCACAGACTGCTAATGATAGTTGAAACTGACTACTTGCTAAATCATCATGCCATTTCACACTCGAATGCGGCACATTCTCAGGACAGCCACAGACAAAGCAACGTAAGTGCACAATGGCACAGCCACCAATCTTGGCTGTTGTCAAGACACAGCAACTGGTTCAAAACATATACAAGGCACCACTGCAGGAAAAGTTCAATACAACAAAAGACTGGCCCTGCCGTCATCTCCCCAGCAAAAAACACAAAGTGTCACAGAGCACCGCAACAAAGCCCTTGGCAGCTGCCTGCAGATGACCATTGCATCAATCACCTTCTGCCCCACCAACCACCACAGGCTCTAACGACGACAGCAGTCCCACCACTATGCCCAAAAGCCACGATTCATGGCAAGTGGACCAGGCAAAACTGGGAACCACAGATTCCACTGCTCTAGCAAGCCGTGTGCAGGGATCACCCAAGGGCACAGTTGTGAGGATGAAAAAATCCCATCCCCTGAACATCCTAACAACATGACCTTCCATAATCAATGCAGGGTTGCCAAATGTGGGAAATCCACTTCATGTTCAGGCTACATCACACACCATTTGCCTGAAGGCTGTTTAGACACGCAGCAACAACAATCTTTCAAACCACCATACGTGTGCAACACCACTGGCAAAAACACTGTGACTCCTTGCTGCAAAGAAAACAGTTGGACAGACAAAACTAGATGGTTTGGCCGTCACATTCCCTTTTGTCAAACTGCAAGCATGCCAATGTTCAGCAGGTTCTGCAAGCAACAATAAAAGCACAGGTCGTAGGCCCCGCTACCTACCCTTGCAATCTTCACAAGCTGATCGTAGTTGTCGTGACCATAGAAAAATGGTTCCTTCCGGAAAAGCATGCCTGCAATACCCACACCCATGCACATAACTACTGCCCATATTCACCAACACTTGCTCACAACATTGGCCACAGGCTCCATGATGGGTGACTTTGGCCTGCCACAATTGGGTTGAGATCAACAGTCCACACCTTGTGCATTTCTCAAGGAACGGCTGAAGCTCTTGCACAACTCAGAGCCCATTCATACTCTTCTTCTGACACCACCCAATGTGTACGAGGGCAACATTCTGGCACAACTTGACCGTTGCAATCTTTGCAGGGAATTAAGCATATTTTGCTCAAGAGATGGCTGCAAACATGCCAATGGTTCAACGACACAAGTGAGTGCATCCCAACTCACTGCCCACCTGCAAACATGCAACCCAGGCTCCACATGTCCAGGGCATAATCGTAGTCCTGAAGATCGACCAACAACTCTGGGCCCTTGAAATAGCGAGATGCCACACGCACATTGTACCTGTTGGCAACCCAAAACAAAGCATTTTTGGACAATCTACGACACAGGTCATCCACTGGGCAATCTCCTTCCCAGCAAGCAACTAAGATTCAAAAGTCTACTCTGCACAAATACGGGTAGGCCAACAGAACAGAAGTTGAAATGAATGCAGAAGAAAGCACAAACTTTGGTGCCAAACTGCAGGGAATGAGGCAAGGACAGTTTGCCTGGCCCACTGTTGGAATTGTGTCTCCAGCTGTGCAACACACAGGAATAGCATGGCAGCAGCCCGACTGCAACACACTGCCATGATATATTCCTCCTGAAAGAACGTACAACAGTGCACAGAGCTGTTGCCTGCTGATGCCAATCCACTGTATACCAGCAATTGGCCACTGACTTCGATTCTATGCTCGTTGGGGAATAAGTTCAGGATTGCATAATTGCATAATGCAACACTCATCCCATCTATATCCATCTGGGTACAAATGGTCACATAATTCTGCTCACTCTTTCCCAGGATGGTAGAACTCTGCCAGTCCCCAGTCTATCAATCGAAGCTTTCTTTTCTCATGATCAATCATCACCTGCCATCAGAAACATTTTGTCAGCATCCCACATCAACACAAAGATTGTGGGGCATTTCAGCTGTGAGGTTGTCTTGCCTGTCAGCAAATACATTCACACCACAAGATATGACGTTGGAACTTGTGCTGTAGTTTGAAACAGACAATTTCTCCAATTTTTCCCCAATTTCACATTCCTCCAATCTGTCAAACACAAAGCCACCTAACAGCTGGAGCATGGCAGCCTTCCCTGCCACAGGTCAGCAGTCCAAGCAATGGAGGACCCAAAACTAATGCCAGTGTCCAGCGCCGGCAACATAACTTGTCATCCATGTATGACTATCAAAGTCCCCACTGCCGTGAAAACTTTCTTAGAAAGGCAAGGTCTGCAGAAACACGTGCATGGCATACACGTCGTTTCAGCCATAGGCTCCAGGCAGCCAGCCCCCTGTGTGTGAGCGCGTCCATCTGGGATACTCACATTGTGCGGTTTGACGTCTCGATGCATGATTCCTTGTGAGTGGCAGTAGTCCAGGGCCTGAACCAGCATTAAGGGCTGAGCAATCTGCCAGCAAGAGTTCTCACAGCAGCACGGCCCACAACCGCCCCACATCCACTACTGTATCCCATACTGCACCTTGAGAAGTTCGAAAATGTAGTACCGAATATCATAGTCTGTCATCGTCGGGTACAGCACTTTGAAGTCTGTGTTGTTGACATACTCGAAAATGAGACTGGGCGTCTTCGACTGTGGATCCCTGACCACGTCCAAGAGCTTGATTACATTTGGCCCACCCGCCAGGGCCCTCAGGATTTTGATTTCACGCTTGATCTGCATTCAAAGCCGCACAACCAAGTCAGTGCACATTCCACGGCGGGCAGCAGCCAGAAACAGCTGAACCAGGCGTCCAGTCAACGAAAACCAGGGCCAGCCGGGTGCGGACAACGTTATTCGGGTTGTCCCGAGGCCCATATCACTGGCCCCAACACCCTCGTGGGCCCAAAAGACTCGAACGCGCCGGCACACACGGCTTCCAGCACCTCCCCGCGCGCACGCCCACCTTTTTCTTCTTCACAGGCTTCAGGATCTTGATTATGCACTTGTCGTTTGTGGCTGTGTTCACGCCCTCGAACACCTCGCTGTACTTTCCTCGCCCCACCTTCCGCACGACTTCGTAGTCGTCCTGAGTCCTGGGGCACAGCGCAACGGCCCCCCGCCCGTCAACACACAAACCCCCCGGCCCACTTCATCAGAGATGGACAAAATCACTCTCAAGCCCTCCAGCCGGGCGCCAGGAACGACAACCGCACGCACCCCCACTGTATGGACAGCGACTCGTAGTCCCAGTACTCCTTGGAGCGGTCCACATTCACGTCCCCGTAAATCCTCGCCCGGCTGGTGTGAGCTCAGGCGGATCGGCAGGGGAACCCGAGGGGGCAGCAGTGCAGCAGGGCCCGGCCCAGCAACAGGGCAGAGAATTAGCAAGAGGGCAGTGGCAATGGAGAACAGGGAGGATCAGAGTAGAGAACAGAGAGGAAATGAAAATGAACAAAACTCAGGGAAAGGCTTAGAGGAAGGGGCGGAAGCGCTCGCGCTGGCGCGGTGAGGCGCGCGAGCCCACGTCGGCCGAATTAGCGGCCTCCGGGCTGCGGAAAATTCTCATGCACGGCGCTCGCTGGGCTGGGGCTGAATACTTTGCGGCTTTGGGACGCGAAACAGTGTGCTTTTTTGGCGACGCCAGGTGGCTGAGATTCGGGCCCTGTTCGTGACGGCTTCAGTTCACTTCGCTGGTGGCGCAGGGACGCGCTCACGTCAGCTCTTGAGCGCCCGGTTTGGGGGTGGGTTGGTCGTGCTTCGTTTTGCTATATATATGCGTGTGCTTTGCTTTTTGCTGTATTTATGCGTGCCTTGCCTTGGGTTGTGCAGGGAACGGCGGTGTGCAGCCGGTACGCTGCAGCGGCTGCCCGGGAGGTCGCGCGCTCACGGGCGCTTGTCGGAGTCGCCGCGAACGGCCTCAGGGCGGTGCAGAATGGAGTCCGAGATTGAGCCTGTGATGGCGTCCATTACCGAGGGTGGAGAGCTGGATGAGGTGAACGAAGAGGGTGCCAAGGGCATCGCCCAGGCGCCTCCTTCCCAGCCGACCATCCGGTCTCTCAAGCGAGAGAAGGCGTGGGCCCTTCGATCCGTGCTGAAAGGTGGCTGCCCGCCCCTGGGTTTGCATTCCGCTTTCTTGGATCCGCCTGCCCGTCGCTGTGCCCGGGCATTGATTGGACAAGGACGCCCCGTGAGGAGGGCGCTGTTGTTGACGGTGGTCGCGACGCGCGACGCCGCTCGCGTTTGATCGGCGCCGCGCCGCGTTGCTGTCGATCGCGGGCTGATCGTTGTGCGCCCCTTTGCGCGTCCTGCCGCCCGCGACAGTGTTCGTCGTGAGGACCGAACCCAACTACGCCCAGCCCTGGCAGATGCGGCCGCAGAGGAGCGCAACCGGATCCGCCTTCGTTGTGGACACCGAGGGCCGCCACATCATTACCAACGCTCACGTGGTAAGGCAATTTCCCGCACAGATCCGATTGCAGGGGTGGGGAAGTGGACTTGGGCGGTGCTGCTGTGGAAGGCCTTGTGGCTGGTCTCCCTCCCCGGCAACTACTTCCTGTGTGAGCGTTCAGCCCATTGTCGGATAGTGGATGAGGGTTCACGTACCCTGCAAGCCATCACATATCTGCTGCGATCACGACATCCTGCCAGTCCCGCTCAACTTCCCTCCTGCCCTCCTTCACTCTTGCCTTTCTTCCGAGGCGAGGCAGCTTTTGCCATCATCTTAGTCTGAGGTTCTGGTACCGGGATATTAAACCAGCGAAAAATAATGGATGCTGGGTCAGTGGAGTTTAATGGAACACATGTTTCGAGGGTCTCTTGCTAGCAGTCAGCTTTGTATCTTTCACTGCAGGTATCCAACGCCACCTCTGTTCATGTGCGCAGACCTGGCAATCCCAAGAAATGGAAGGCCACTGTGCTGTGCGAGGCCAAGAGCTCTGACCTGACACTCCTAACAGTTGAGGACCCCCTCTTCTGGGAGGATGACCTAAGGCCACTTGAATTTGTAGATGTGCCAGACCTTCAGGTGTGTGTGTTAAAGAGGCGATGTTGGGCATGAATTCCAGGCCAATGTTGCGAATCGTATCACATTGTTTGTTCGGTGCTGCATTCTCTTGTGCCAAGCAGATGTAGCACATATCTATTGTCGACCATTGTGGCAATATCTGCAGTTACCTTGATGAGTACACTGCCACAAACAGGAACATGTTGGCTGTTTGCCTGTAAAGAGTACATGTACATCCAGTTTGCCAAGAAAGAGAATGACTTTCCCGCTTCTGCAGCTGGTTTTGACTGGTGGTGAATTCCAGCCAAAATTGCTGTTGCGTGTGGTGGAGCAGAACTTATGGCAACATTGTTTCAAATCAATCTTCAAACATACCAACCACACGTACCCACTACATCTTTCGACTGTCAAGGGCACATGCAGTGGGTATGTTTGAAGTGTTATGGGAAACAGTTGGGCCATAAGCTGTGGAAGCCAGAGGTTTTGTGCTCATCTTTTTCCTTTTTGAAGTGGTGCAAAATTCAGTAACATCACAAGCATCGTCCATCCTTTGCTCCAATGATCCTGGAAGGCTTATCACGCACTTCGTGTTTGCAAACTCACTAGACTAGACTAGAAGAGGCTCATGCGTACTTGTGCTTACGATTGCTTTATTTGCCCAGCATCCTATCTTTGTGGTAGGTTATCCGATGGGTGGCGACTCTTTGAGCATCACAAAGGGCATCGTCTCAAGAATCACAATGACAAGGTATGCTGTGGCCTCCAACAAGCTGCTGGGCATTCAAATCGATGCTGCCATCAACCCAGGCAACAGTGGAGGACCAGCCTTTGCTGACCTGGAGCAAGGAAAAGTTGCAGGGGTGGCATTCTCCAAGATTACTCATGCGGACAACGTGGGCTACATTATCCCTTGGATGATTGTTGCGCACTTCTTGTCAGAGTACAGGGAGCATGGTACCTTTCGGGGGAGCTGTTCAGGGGGTTTCAGATTCCAAGACATGGAAAACACCCACCTGAGAGCCTATCTTAAGGTGAGCAACGACAGACACGGGTTGTGCTTAGATATCCAGAGCAGTCAAGAGAACAAAACCAGCGTCACACATTCTTCATTTTGAGTCTTTCTTGTTTCTTTGCGACTTCAAGACGTCAAGGGCAATTGTGGATTGGCACTGTGCGAATCGTGAACTGCGATTGTCAGGCAACTGCTGTTGGCACTGGTCGTCAGGCGACGGACAGAAATTGTCACGATACCAGTGGATGATGATAACTAGAAGCTGAAAGAGAATCGGGTGATGCACTACAACTCCCATGGATGCCAACTGTCAGACGTCGCACACTATTCGATCTTGGGCAATGCATGAAATAGTGCTCAGTGTTTGCTTTGTACATTTTGAATACACCGCAATAGCGTACACTTGTCAGAGTTTTGATTTTGGGAAGATGGGCACTGAACATTTGTTTAGACAAACAGCATGTGCAGCAGGAAGTGAGTACTGGATGGAGATCTGCAGTGCAACAGTAACAAACCATGAGAAATGAACAATTTCATTTCCCTCAGGCATGGCAGTACAATAACAGGCCCACACTGGACATTCAGGATCAGTGCCTGCCTTGTTGCTTGTGCAGGTACCAGAGAATCGCTCTGGGTGTGTTGTATACAAAATCGACCCCCTATCTGAAGCCTGCCAGGTGCTGGATGTCATGGACGTCGTCATGGAGGTGGACAGTGTCCCGATCGCTGATGATGGGACAGTCCAGTTCAGAGACGATGAACGTGTTGAATTCTCCCACATTGTGCGGTGTAAGCATATAGGCGATACGTTACATCTGACAATACTCAGGAATGGACAGGTATGTTGATCTTCATCGACTTGGTCACTCTGCCGCCTAATGCATAATTGGTGCAAAATGGCTCCATGCTATCTTGCAAGTTGTTCGTTGATTGCAGTGCAGATGAACTGTGGTGGCATGCCACTGCCTATTGTCCAACCAACGTGCATGTTCCACATCCCAAACTTGCCCAGTAAATGTAGCTTATAGCTGCTGTCAACGATTAGAAGGGAATTGCTGCACAATCAATGTTGCACATTGTGAAGACCGCCCTGGAATTGTGACACAACAAACGTACATGTGTGGCCGTTGTGGGATGGATGTTGTGTCCTTCTTGTCCAAGTCATGGACGTTTGTTCCATTTTGTGCCAGGAAATGGAGGCTAGCTATCAGCTTGGACAATTGCGGCCCCTTGTGCCAGTATTACATGGGCTGGATTGCACGCCTTCGTACTTCATAGTTGGTGGCCTGGTTTTTGTCCCTCTCAGCATACCATTCTTGGAGCATGCTTATGGAACCAGGAAATGGCGGCAACTGAGCCCCATTCCTCTTCTGGGCATGATCACCGAATACAGGTCATTCGCTGATGAGCAGGTATGCCCACATTTCCAAAATGAACTGTACCTCCAATGTGTTTCCGTATCTTGTGTGTTTGTTTTGTGTTTGTATTCTGTGTCTGGATGAACATTTTGTGGATCCATATCACAGGTGCATGTTACAACATCCAGCTTTTCAGGTCCATACAGTGTCTGTTGTTCTGCTTGTACTTTGTGGTGCCTGCGAGGCAGTATCAGAGCTGTCATCGGATGCCTGTGCTGCCCTTGCTGTCCCGCTCTGCTGTGAGTGGTGATTGACACAATTGCATCTGTGATCTGCAGGTTGTTGTGTTGGTTCAGGTACTGGCATCTGAGCTCAATTTTGGATACAATTTTTCCACAATGCACTGCCACAGCTTTAATGGGATGAAGTTGCATAACCTGCAACATTTAGCACAGCTGGTGGACACATGCACTGACAGGTACGCTGACATTCTAATGTTCTTGGCTCAAGTCTTCCATTGTCTTTGCAGACTTGGAAAACCCGGCTGTCCCTTCAATTTGAATTTCTTTGATGCAGGCCACCGTGGGTGTTGGTCGTGTACCACAGTGTAGTTACGGATGCCCTGTGACATTGACAAGGCTTTTAAGTCAACAAGCGTCAACTGGTTCGTTGCCAGCAACTGGACAGTGATCCACAACTGGTACCATAATTTTGTTCAACAGAGTCCTGCCCTGCATGGGTGCTGCTATCCCAACAAATTGCAGCCAAGCACCATTTGCCAAAGGCAGAAGCAACATCGAAGGGCCCCACATCCTGTACAACTCAGCCAACAAGGTGTGCCCCAAGGCCACCATCACCACTCTTGTACCAGCTGTAATGGCAGGCTCCAGCAGGCACACAGTTCCCCACTGAATTTTCTCTGTTTGATGTCCAGAGTGGTGTTGCAGCTGGGCGAAGTTCCCCACACCTCCCCCCTGATATTTCCAAAGGAATACATGCAAGTTGTGAGATACCTCTCTGCAATGCCACGCCAATGGCTGGCAGGTGAAGTCCTCCCTACAAAGGAAGCAACGCATTTCGATTATTGTTAGCCTTTGGATTATGTGTGCAGCAGTCCCCTCCGACAAAGAGGCTGCCAGTTCAACTTCAGCCAACTCCCCCATCCAGCCAAAACAACATGCAGATATGGGTACCTCTCAAAGGGGAGTACCTGCCACCTTAATGTGCTGTCTGAACTTCTGTACTCCGTCACGAATGTGCCATCAATCTTGTCACAAAATCCGGTGCACAGGTTGGGCAGAAATGGACACAATTGTTGTCCTCGATCTGAATGCCAGCACAATGCGCACATCATCTCTAGAGCCGCCACATAGCCATATGGGATTCGAGAAGAAGAATCTGAAGCCAACCCTTGTCGGCACAGGCACACCAAAAATTGCACATACTCCTGTGAGCCGCACCTGGGAAGGTGCTAGTCTTGGCAGTGGTACTATTGCCTTGGCAGATGAACTACACAGGAAGCAAAGACCAGCACTGAGTTAGTGTGTACATAAGTCTGGCTTAGTTGCTCATGTCAGAGGCCAACGTAGGACATGGGAAGAACGTCTATCAAGGCTCATGAGCTTTCCATTGGGCTATGGACGACCCTGGTGGGGCCCCTAAACTCAATTCGATTTGTCTTTCAATCACACTCCAGGTACCTAAA